TCGATTTAAACGATTTAAACGATTTAAACGATTTAATTGGGTCCAATTAAATCGTTTAAATCGGACGCCTGAATTAAATAGTTTAATTGGCCTGGGCGATTTAAACGATTTATTTGGTTGGTTTATGGCTTGACTGGGTTTCCCCCCCCAATTAAATCGATTTAAACGATTTAAACGATTTAATCGATTTAAACGATTTAATTGGGTTCAATTAAATCGTTTAAATCGCCCAGGCCAATTAAATAGTTTAATTGGCCTGGGCGATTTAAACGATTTAATTGGGTCCAATTAAATCGTTTAAATCGGACGCCTGAATTAAATAGTTTAATTGGCCTGGGCGATTTAAACGATTTAATTGGTTGGTTTATGGCTTGACTGGGTTTCCCCCCCAATTAAATCGATTTAAACGATTTAAACGATTTAATCGATTTAAACGATTTAATTGGGTCCAATTAAATCGTTTAAATCGCCCAGGCCAATTAAATAGTTTTATTGGCCTGGGCGATTTAAACGATTTAATTGGGTCCAATTAAATCGTTTAAATCGGACGCCTGAATTAAATAGTTTAATTGGCCTGGGCGATTTAAACGATTTAATTGGTTGGTTTATGGCTTGACTGGGTTTCCCCCCAATTAAATCGATTTAAACGATTTAAACGATTTAATCGGTTTAGACGATTTAATTGGGTCCAATTAAATCGTTTAAATCGGACGCCTGAATTAAATAGTTTAATTGGCCTGGGCGATTAAGACGATTTAATTGGGCCCAATTAAATCGTTTAAATCGGACGCCTGAATTAAATAGTTTAATTGGCCTGGGCGATTTAAACGATTTAATTGGACTCAATTAAATCGTTTAAATCGATTAAATCGTTTAAATCGTTTAAATCGATTTAATTGGGGGGAGACCCAGTCAAGCCATAAACCATCCAATTAAATCGTTTAAATCGCCCAGGCCAATTAAATAGTTTAATTGGCCTGGGCGATTTAAACGATTTAATTGGGTCCAATTAAATCGTTTAAATCGGACGCCTGAATTAAATAGTTTAATTGGCCTGGGCGATTTAAACGATTTAATTGGACTCAATTAAATCGTTTAAATCGATTAAATCGTTTAAATCGTTTAAATCGATTTAATTGGGGGGAGACCCAGTCAAGCCATAAACCAACCAATTAAATCGTTTAAATCGGACGCCTGAATTAAATAGTTTAATTGGCCTGGGCGATTTAAACGGTTTAATTGGGTCCAATTAAATCGTTTAAATCGGACGCCTGAATTAAATAGTTTAATTGGCCTGGGCGATTTAAACGATTTAATTGGACTCAATTAAATCGCTTAAATCGATTAAATCGTTTAAATCGTTTAAATCGATTTAATTGGGGGGAGACCCAGTCAAGCCATAAACCAACCAATTAAATCGTTTAAATCGGACGCCTGAATTAAACAATTTAATTGACCTGGGCGATTTAAACGATTTATTTGAGTCCAATTAAATCGTTTAAATCGCCCAGGCCGATTAAATTATTTAATTGGCCTGGGCGATTTACACGATTTAATTGGACCCAATTAAATCGCTTAAATCGGACGCCTGAATTAAATAAGTTAATTGGCCTGGGCGATTTAAACGATTTAATTGGACTCAATTAAATCGTTTAAATCGTTTGAATCGTTTAAATCGTTTAAATACTTATTAAAAAAAGGAATGAGCTAAATAGACCCGAAAGGCTGCTCTTTCATATATATATATATATGCACTTCAAGCACTTGAGTGCTTTCTTCCGGCTGGCAGAGTGGACGGACCCTCAGGCGGAACGCACCAGGATGCACACACATGCTAGGGTAGACACTGCGTGAAATTGTTGAGGCATCCCACATTGCAACCTGCCTCAGTATGGGCCGTGGGGGGTTCAAGTGAGCAAGGGGAGAACGCTCAATCCTCTGTTGCCAGAGCAATTGTGGCATATGGGGCTCCAAGCCCAGGGATGCTGCCGCAGCATCACCCAACCCTGGGGCTCCTATCGCATGAGCAACGATGCAGTGACTTCCGTGTCTCGTTCATGAGGGCCAGTTGGATTGGGCATCTCTTCTTCGCCGACCCAGAGGCTGCGTAGCCCGAGATCGCGAGCACTGGCTGATAACCCTCAGGAGTGCCTGGAGCCTCAAGCCCCAGAAGCTCGATGCGACAGCTCGCGCCTTCAACGTCTCACATGAGGATTTACAGGTGCCCTTGAACTCGAAACCCTTATCTGTCCCACCGATTGATTTGAAGATGCCCCCCCATGCTCGATCACCACCTTAGCCTGTTTCCGCGCTCATCGTGTTGGACTCTCGCTACATTTTGCTTGCGCGCCGTCGCTGGTCGACAAAGGGCAAGGCTTGCATCTCAAGCCCTCACCCTCGGGATGATCCGCGTTTCTGCTTGGAAACAGAATGATCTTGGGATGAGAGGGGGCTATGCCGACAGCGCCGATAAAAGCCTGTGTCATTTCAAGTCAGAAGAAAAACATTTTTGTTTTGGAAAACTCGAGCCGGCTCGAAGGATCTATGGCCCCAGCAGCCCGGTAGATCCTGAAACTTAGGGTTTTTCTGGACAATTCGAGCCTGCTCGAGTTTTCGGGACCTGGAGCTTCAAGAATTTTCCGAAAATTCGAGCAGGCTCGAATTTTCCAAAAAAAGCTGACGCAGTAGGTCGCGGAAACACGAACAGGCTCGAATTTTCCAACAAAATCCGAAATTGGCTCCAGCAGCCCGGTAGCCGGTAGATGCTGAAACTTAGGCTTTTTGTTGGAAAATTCCAGCAGGGCTCGCGCTTTCGCGACCTGGTGCTCCAAGAATTTTCGGAAAATTCGAGCCGGTTCGAATTAAACAAAAAAAGTTGCTGAAACCCTGGCTGTGCGACCCAAGGCCTCACAGATGACACAATTTAGGTTGTTCTTTGAAAATTCGAGCCTGCTCAAGTTTTCGCGACCTTGTGCCTCGAGAATTTTCGGAAAATCCGAGCCGGCTCGAGTTCTCTTGAAATTCTGACTGCGATAATTACTACAATGAGTAGCATTAGTTGCGAATTGAAAGTTAAGTTTCCCTTCCATTTTAACGGCCAATACTTGAATTGTGAGAAGAGGCCGTAAAATAGTTAAGTTCAACAAACATTTTGTTCTCAAACCCCTTGACAGTCAATATAAGAACTACCTTTGCTTAATTGAAAACTTAGATTATCAATGAGGATATCTTCGGGGCCAAAAGTTTTCCGTTTACACACATAGCATAGAGAATTTAAATAAAGATAAATAAAGATAATTTAAGCTTAAATTTAAGGAAAATTAGAATCATATATATGAATTTTCTTTACTACTGTTCTTCTTCTTACCTTTCACCTCCTGAACTGCTTCATCTACTTCATTATTCTCAACTAACTTTCTTATCTCTTCGTAAGCATTTTGTTTAATTCTATTCTCTTTCTTCGGTTTCTCCATCTGTTCGTACGTTGTTGCTTTCGTATGAAACAGTATTAATATTCTTTAGATTATTTAATCAAGCTGTTGTAAAAGCTCTTCTTCGGTTATAGGTAGAAGTCCTGCTTTGTTTTTAACATTGCCTGTATCTGCATCAGAGAGGCTTAATGTTGATGTATTTAATGTTATGATTATACTTCCTTTATCAAACATACTGACGGGGTCCCCTGCCTTAATTAAAGTTGTCCCCGTGTCTTCTGGTCGTCGTCCTGATACAAAAAGAGAACCATAACTACGACCACTGAATACACTGCCATAATCATTGATAATTTGTTTTCCTACTGTTGAACTACACTATGACAGCTAATATCAGTAATTCCAGTAACTTTCCATCTATTTCAATAAAACCATCTTGAATGAACCTATCTACATCTTTATAACACTTAGTCTGTTGCGTCTTGTATGCTGGTTTAAGTCCTTGCGTGTCCGTTAAGAATGCCTCTGTCCCCGCGAAGTCGTCTCTAACTGCAGTATGTAGTCTGCTTCTTGTGTCAGGAGTTCTATAAAGCCCCTTTCATGTTTGTGCATAATAAAATAGACTTTACAACGTATTTTATCTAGTTGATTAATACTGTTGAAGAGTATAGAGCAAATAACAGAGATTTGCAAGCCGCACAAAACCAAATCCACAAACGGATTCTGTTTGTAGATTTCTCTTGTTTAAAACTACATGTAATGAATAACAAGTATATATGTGCAGGCAGTGTAGGTCCGACATTATTAAACCAAGAACTACGCGATCACCGTACCGGGCAAGGGCAAGACGGTAGTGAAGAGTGGTACGTCATCGACCGGTTTTTGGGATTCTTGAGGAGTCATTTGAAATATGTTTGCCGTGTGACATCAAAACACGTGGTCACAGGAAGGATGCTTCGCTTCCTACACGACAATCGCCAAAGTTGACATACACAGTTAGCTGTTGCATAGCAGACGCTGTCACCGTGCCACGGGCTTGAGGAAAGATATCTGCATGCCATAAGTTCAGGTATGTGTCTGTGTGAGTGACTAAGTTACTGAGTGACAAAACGAATAACAGAGATTAGCAAACCACAGAAAACCAAATCCAGAAACGGACTCTGATTGTAGATGTCTGTTGTTTAAAAGCATAGAGAATGAATAGCAAGTTGTAGCATCAGACATGGCAAGACACGAAAGTATCGTAAATACCGGTGCTTGTCACTTCAACCATATGTGTAAGTAAGCACAGGTGCAGAAGGGCAAGCAAGAAAAGGACACATATGGATCATGGGAGGGGGTGTGACCATATACATTTACATATATACATCTCTTGCACGGACGTAGTTCAGTTCAGCCGTTTATCACTCACAGGTGTCGAGCGTTGCTAAACTCTATGTCTTCGAGCACAACGTAGTGGTCAAAATTGTATCTGGGTGGCAAAGGTTGAGCTGTTGAGCTGCCAGTTTGCACGTTGCCATGGTGCACGCGAAGGATCCCCAAATCTTGGTGCCAGCTGAGGCTACGCCTTTGATGTCGGTCCGAGCTCCAGCATACACTGCCTGGAGCTTGTTGCAGGCGCCGGTAAAGGAAGAGCCCTGGACATTGCTTTAGCGCGGAGTAATGCTTTACAGGCTTGCCGCCAGTTGCGGTTGCCACGTCCTTCGCTCGATTTGCCCAGCGAGGAGAGGCAAAGTGCCCGTGAATGTTGGAGCCTGAATTTTCGAGCAACTCGTAGTCAAGCACATGTTGACATAGCTAGAGCCTCTATGTTTGCCAGAACTCTTTTGCGGCACTCTTGCGTTCAGTAACGCTGCCATTCAACGGTGGGAAGGCGAAGCCAGCTGACCGCCGGTGTTGCATCATGCGGCGTTAATGGCATAGCTCATCTTGGGCCTGTTAAATGGTGACATTTTAAAGAAGTGGAGTGGCCTGTGACAGATGGCCCGGGAGGTAGCATAAAGCGTTTGGCCCTGATAAAGGTGCCTTCCAACCCTTCCCCCAGCCCTTGCTTGGATGGAGTTGTTGGCTGGCCTTGATAGAGCGTCGGAGCCTGGATTAAGGGAGTTCGGTTCAGGGTCGTAGGGTTCCCGGTTTCATGGACTAGGATTTCGGGGCGTCCTAAAAGACGGGGTTTCTGCAACATTCCTTCGGATTTCACATGGCACTGCTCTAAAAAGTGGTTTCCCAGTTGTTTGGACGCTGGATACTGTGACGCCTGTCTGAAACTGTTTCCCAGCTGTCTCCCATTGTTAAGGGAGACCTTGCATGCTGTGATGCCCCCCCTCTGGGACAGTTGTTTCCCATTTGTCTCCCCTTTGTCTGCTTTTGTAATGTTGGACTCGGTTTAGTGCGGGGCGCCCCCCCCCCCTCCCCGCCCCCCAAACAATTTTAGGGTTTTGGGGGATCATGACAGTGTGGGCTGGGGTCTGGGACGGCGGGTAGGGCGGCTGGGGGTCGAGGGTTGTGAGGGGAAGCCTTGAAGCTTGAGGGTCTAAGCTTTTCAGGCTTTGTAGGTTTTGGGGGTCCGGGCTCCCAATTAATGCGGGCCACCGAAACAATTTGCTAAAGCGAATCTGCGCAGCTCGTGGGCTACTCCCTAGGAAAATTGTTTGGGGGCCTGTTTCGTAATGAAATTGTAAAAGGACTTTAACTAAAGCTGGACACCAAAAAACTACGGAATTTCTTATTCAAGACTTTTTTTAGTTTTTGGCTAATTACCGGGCCCCCCACCCTTCATCCCCGGCCCGGCAACATCGCATAGTTGAGGACCACCCTAATCAATGGGGGGCTCCCCTATAAGATTTCCGGAAAAGCGCATAAATAGTGCCCCCTCTCACTAAACCGGGTGCAACATTACGGAGGTCAGACTGGGAGTGTTGCCTCCCTTTGCGCTGACCCGGGATGCTGTGCCGTTTTGGTTGGAAGCGGCAACACTGGCGACCAGTTTTGTTCGTCTGTGTTGATTGCTAAAGCAGGTGGGTGATTTCAAGACGTCACTGAACTTTGGCTGGCTCTCTTGGCCTCGCCCCAACCGCATCTTGATACGCCCAAAACTTGCCAACTCCTCAGACCCCACTGAGATCTCAGAGAGTTCCTTTTGCAGAGTTCCCCCAGGAGGACGTGGCGCAGATCATGCGGGAGGTTGCCGCCGAGCAGCTGAAGGATCCGGAGTCAGCGTAGGAGGAGACTGAGCGTAGGGGACTCTCAGAGAACTCGGAGGACCCCATTGGGATTTCGGACCGAAACGGTGTTGGGTTGCCAAAGTGCAGTGGCAGTTTGTCGGATTCGTTTCCCTCTCTTTTTTTTTGCAGGCGTGGCCCGCGGACGTGGACGACGTTGTTCCTCGGCTCGCACTGATTTAGGATCTTTGAAGCTCAACCGCCGAACTCGCCGAACCGGGACCCCTCTAGTCACCACAGACGCCAGACACACGGCAACGCAGAGCGAAACGCGAAGCAGTGAGACGCGAAGCAAACACCATGACACACGGAGGATTCTCGCTTGAAGCTGCTTTTCGAAGCCACTGCGTCGCAGCGTCTCTCGAGCATCTCGCAGACCAAACGGCGCAAGGCAGGGTGCCCTTTGGCAATCTTCGGGGGTAAAAGGTAAAATCTGGTGCCTTCAACACTGGAAAGCCGCAGAGAAGCCCTTGGATGCCCTTGGGGTTGTTGCGTGGTTCTTCTTTGGATGGAATCGGCTTGTTGCAGCACGGACAAAACGTAACGCTCTTTTCAATTATCGCGAGACACACTGGACATAGGTTCGCAACAAACTCGGCTGGATGTTTAAGGACAAGCGGCCACTATCTGAGTCGGCATGGGGTAGCTGGCATGGCTTATGGTCTGAACATGTATGCACCAGGATCCCAATTCTGCTTGAGGTAGGTTTGGCCTTGACGTTGACTGGGAGGTCCAGGCCCTTGGTGTGCCAGCGGCCAGCCGCGCCAGCCCCACCGCACAGGAGGCGCAGGAAGCACAGGCGACGGGCGAAGCTGCCTTCGGAGAGGCTCCCATATCGCATCTCATATCTGTGCCCCCCCTAGCTGCCCTAGCTGTTGATGGCGGACAAGACATGGACGTCAGGAGTTGATCCTTCAGAACGGCCTCAGGATTTTCCTCAAGGACGCCGTTTTTTTGTCAGGGAAATGCTTTCGAGACGTTGTCGGGTGACTTCTGGTCTCGGTGCAAGAACTCCTTAGCGTGTCGGGCATAGAACTCTTCACAAAGTCGGCCAAGACATGGTGCTTTAGCCGTGCAGCGGTTTGTTCGGGCGTGTTCACTCGGAAAGATCGTCCACACTTGTGTGCACGGAGTTGGGATTCGAACACCATCATGCGCTTGAACTTAGCAGACTTAGCAGACTTAGCAGCCTTAGCATGAACTGAGCTTGGCAGCTGTGCTTCATGGATCCCTGCCACGTCATTGGGCCTGCTCAGCATGGCCTGTCAGAGGATTTGCAGCAGGCGCTCCGAGAAAGCGTGTCTGGGGACGTGGGTTTCCGGTCCATGATGGGACCCGAGGGCCCTTTTTTACCTGCAGGGCTGCTGAACTCTGGCAACTCTTGCTTTTGGAATGCTCTGGTGCAAGCGCTGTTTTTCTCGGTGCCTCAGTTCCGAAGCGCGTTGTTCCAAATGGACATGGATGACCTTCACTTTAAGCACTTTTCGCAACAAGCACGTCAAACGTCTCTGCCTGAAGTGCTCGGTCTGATGCGTGACCTTTTCGTTGAGATGGAAATGGGGCTTACGGGTGCCATCGATGCTGGCAAGCTGTACAACAGCATCTTCCAAAGAGCTGAGGAAGCTGATGTTTCAGAGCAAATGCAGCACTTCTTTGAATTAGCGTCGCAGGCGGCTCCACTGAAAGTCGTGTGTCAGCTGTTTCGAGGTGAGCTGCATGAACATTTGCGTGGTGGAGAGAGACGCCAAGTGCCCTTAGACTTTTTTCAGCTGGACCTTTGTGTTTCAAAGCCTCGGTCCCTACCCGATCTTCTGGAAGACCACGTGAATGATGTCCATGGCAGCATTTTGCGACGCTCCTACGCGCTTCCACAGGTCCTGTGGCTGAACTTGGACCGCTTCCGCTTCGACAGGAAAGAGATGAAAGGACGGAAGCGGCGGGTCCGCGTGAGCTTCCCCGAGCGGTTGTGCGCCTGGATGCTGACGGACGAGTGCTGTGTGCAAGCACCTGAGTCACGTGAGACCGAGAAGAGTCAGAAGAGCCAGAAGAGTCCTGAACTTTCTGAAGGGCGCAGGCTGGCGGAGGCAGCACCGGCGGAGTCGTCGCCGGCTGCGCTCATCTGGAGCCGCCAAAACCTGCAAGCGGAGCTCCTCGAAAACCAGCAGCTCCTGCAGAAGACGACGCAAGAGGAGATTTCGAAAAGCACGGAAAACCAGGAAAGCACGGAAGAGTCGCTCCTCATGGCCGAGCGCATTGCAGAGCGTCAGGAGGAACTCATGCAGTCATTGCAGGCGCTGGAGGAGCAACTCATGCGGGTTGGGGAAGACAAGGGCTGGGTGTATGAAGTCCAGGCGGTGATTATTCACAAAGGGCTGCTGGACACTGGCCATTACTTCACTTATGCGAGAATGCCGAGTTCCCAGTGTAGCTCAACTTGGTGCTGCCTGAACGATTCCTCTGTCAGCATCTCATCTTTCGAGGAAGCTTGGCATCGGTTTCGGTTCAGCAACTTGTTTATCTTGTCTTTCAGCCCAGTTTGCTGCGGAGTTTTTAGCCATCACAGTCCGAGTTCTGCCTCAAGAGACACACATTCCAGGAGATGCGTAAAGTTGCAGCAGGAAGGTCTGAGGACATCGAGTCTGAGAGTGAAGATGAGGCAGCAGCCAGTTTGCCCAGCTTGCCCAGTTTGCCCAGTTTGCAAGTGGCGCAGCTTCCTGAGGAGAGCTTGTGGGCTGCCGTGTCCAAGATGTGCGGATGTGGATGGCATCAGTCAGTGGCGGCTCCGGTGGTGTCTCCGGACATGACTTTCGACAAGGAAGAGCTGAGTCGGGAGCTGCCCAAGTCGCCCAAGTCACCCGAGCCGCCCGAGCCGCCCAAGCCGCCCTCTCCGCCGTCGCAGAGCATTCAGAGCACAGAAGCGCGCTGCCTTGTCTACACCCGGGTGAGAGAGAGGGACAGAGAAAGGGACACGGCCGGAACTTCTTCGGATTCCTTGGATTTCCTGAACGTCCGGCACTTGGTCCCCGCCAAGCTGCAGGAGCGCATCGACCAGGCGAACCAGGAGGGGGCACCACCCAAAAACCCGACCCCAAGCAAAAGCGACGAGCACAAGAGAGAAGGGAGAGCAAAGAGAGCAAAGAGAGAGAGCAAAGAGAGAATCTTTGTTCTGCTTGCTGTTCCAGCACTTCTTTAGTTGCTTCAGAGTTGCTGCTCCAATTCGGCTTCAGGAAGTCTTGAAGGATGCTGCTAACCGAGTGGTGGCTGAGTTTGCGCGGTCGCTCGGTCGACTGCGAGAGATCTCAGCAGCAGAGAGTGTGGATACGGATGCGAGGATGGCGGATGGAAAGGATGATGAGGGTGATGGCAGTGATGGCCTGCTCTCCACTGCGCGGTTTGTTTTTGCGGAAGCCGGCGCAGAGGTTGCTCGGGCGTACCTTCTCCGTGCGTGCTGGCGACAGCGTATCCCTTGGCTTCCGGAAGAGCTTTGCCCGACGGCAATGCCGCCAGACTTTCGCATGCACTATGGGCGCCTAGCGAAGCAGCTTTTGCTGGATGCCTTGGTGCACCATGGCCTTCTCGAGGATGCGCAGCTTGTCTCGCGAGGCGACTCGGACACATTCGCCCCGACCGAGATTGGAGCTTGGCTGTCTGACCGCGGCCTTTGACAAATGAGAAAAGCTGAAACATCCCCCCAAGTCTGCCCGAGGCCCCTAGAGACTAAGCTCACTTTGAATCGTTGAAGCTCGAGGAAGTAAGAAGCCGTCATACTTTGAAGCCTTGGTGCCTTTGTTTGTTGTAGAGCTGTTTTTGCCTTTCGGTCTGTTGACTCGGTTCTTGTATAACACAGGAGTCCGACTTATTCGAGGACGAAATCTTGGTGAAAGGTCGGCGCTGGGGAGGGCTCTCCGAATTTCAGGCCTCTCGGCTCAGCCTTCTGTGTAGTCACTGTGTAGTGGCTACTAAGATCTACTGTGGCTTTAAAAACTTGAAGGGGGAAGTAGAGTAAAGGGTCCACGGCACAAGAGACATGCGTTGGCTGAGGAAAGCGGCCTGTTCAGTGGAGGCAGAAGAGAGGGCGGAGGGAAGGCTTTGCAGGGCGTTGTGTCTTGAGTCTTGAGGTCTGTAGGACGCCGTAGAGAGAGAAGGCCTTCCTTCTTTCTCTCTGGTTGCTCTTCGTTCTCTTCTCTTCTCACTTGGCTTCTTTACCTCAAGTGAATACTCGTTAAGCTGTTTGAGTGAGGCATCAGCTGCGAGGCGCAGGTGAACTCCATGTGCGCCGCGACCTTGAGTTGGGAAAGCCTCAAAACAGAGCATCCGGCTCACTCTCTTCGTTTGAAAACGATGAGGCCATGATGCTGGGCATCTGCGGGCTGCCAGCGGAATCTATGCAGGACTTCGGCTCGTGCCACAACTTGACTCAACTTGCCGCCAATCTTGTGACCCTTTTTTGGTTCAGGAGTGCCTCGAAGGAAGGCGTGTGGACCCGAGCCCACCGAGCATGGAGGCAAATCAGAAAAGTCAGCGATTTGAAAGATGGGGTTACCGGGTTACCATTCAGTTCCCATTGCCAAGAAAAGAGGCTTACACCACCTCCCTGGATGCCTCCTCTTCACCGGCGGACTTCGAGGTGAGGTCTGCATATTTTTCCTCACTTCACTTTATCTATCTTATAGCTTCATATCCTCCTTCTACGTGATCTCTTTCTGTGCAAGTTAAATAAGAGTCTCAGTCAGTTGGTGAGGTGCTCTTGACGTTGCTCTCGCTGCTCTTCCTGAAGCCCGTGTCCCCGGGAGCTGGCGCTGCCGGAAGGCAAGGGCCCCCCGAGAGATGCGATCTACCTCTCTCTGCTCTGCTGTGATCTCCGCTCTCTTCTTTTATAGTCTTTTTAGTTTGAACTCAGTTAGATTTTTTTTACTTTGTTAAGCTCTCTGACAAACGACGAACGGATCACGGCGAGCAAGCGCGGAGAGAATTGACCGAGTGCTACGCCTCACCGTTCCTCATCACCGAAAGGCTCTCCTTGGTGAAGTTGGGGCTTCTGGCTTGGCGTTTAGCTGAAGATCGTGATCCGCAGAGCCATCGCGGCTGCATAGTGAGAAGCGCGGCGAAAGCCAGCACTCTGAAATCTTCGGCAGAGCTTGTGACCCTTCTGCTACGGCGAAGAAATGCAGAAAGCTTGCTAAAGGGTTCCGGCAGAAGATGACTGCAAGGTAAGTTTCGACGCCGAATGCAAAGCGCCATCACCAGCAACCATCCGCACGTTCCTCAGAGAGCCAAAGACACACCGCTTGACAGGATGCGACGGGATGTGACGGGATGTGACATTGAGACAACCTGTTTCAGCGTGTTGGAATGCGACATGTGCACCGGCAGAGATCTTTCGGCTCAGGTACACCTGGCTTCCGAGCCACTCAATTCGCAGCAAGAAGGGAAGCGCTGTGAAGGGGTTGGTCTGTGAGTTTCTAGACGCCATTCACAATATTGAAGGTCTGGGTTTACTCTTAGCTACTTGACGGCTGTATCATGGCGTTAGATTTTTCAATTTTGACGTTACGCGAACCGCCTCGGCCGGAGCCTGCGTGTGCCTACTGGCCAAGAAAAGCTTTGCTTCACTCCGCCACCAAAGACTCTTTTTTCTGTCCATGCTTGGAAAGATCCTGATCCTGCAACGTCTCGTCCAAGTAACATCGTTCCTGCATTGCGCATATGGAAGGCAGGTGTGCCTGCTAACACCAATCAGGTGTAAAGCAACGAATTTTGAGGTTTGAGCCCCTGAATCCGCGGGCCTCCTAGCCAGAACCCTCACTGCCGGTGCCACTCGGTGATCAGGATCTGACCTTTGGTTGCTACTTGTTTCCTTGGACCTGGTGTTGTTGAGAACTCGAGACATGCAGCTTACGGTTGATAACGGTGCAGACCTGTGTGTTAGAGAGAGGTTACGCTGTGACGCTGTGGCAGTATGCCTGAGTGGCAGTATGCCTGAGTCCTCTGAGTGATTGCCTCTCTTCACTTTCATATCCTCGAATCGTCCCTGTGTAGTTGGCGCCTGATGTGGTGTGGCGCAGTGCGGGTGGCCAAAAAACCCTCACTGCCCTCCAGCCCACTCGCAACGCCAAACAACGAAGGCACCCCGAGGTCAAAGAGCACGCCGCCCCAACACCCATGTCGATTTCAACCTCCAGCAAGCCTGTAATTGAGGGGCGTGTGACATGTCACCTGCGTCCTTCAATGACGAGTTCAGTTTGGGGCGCCTGTGGTCAGGCCCAAATGCCCCCTGGTCCTGATGCACAATTGGCTTCCGCACAAATTGTCGGTGGGAGGGGGGGGGGGGGGCGGGGTACAGATTCCAGCCAAAAAAGCGGGGGGGGGGGTACAAGGCCCGAGGCCTCGGCGGATAAGGTCATTTTTGAAAGATTGTCAGTGTTTGCGATTCTTTTGTTTTGGCGACTGTGCAGAGGCTAGACGAAGCATTCCCTTTACGTTTCCAACGCAGTTCAAACTTCATGGTTTATCTGTTTAGATTGTATTTCGACTCCAGGCCTCTGGCGAATTCTGCGCTTGAACTTCAAGACCGCATCTCAGGCCGATTGCTATAGTCTTATAGACGAATAGAGCCTTTTCCAATGAGCACTTCTCAACTCGCCTCAGATCTTCAACGAGCGAGCATCGATGCCCCGCGAATGGACCCTTGTCCTTGTGGGGCGATTGCCTCCTCGAGACGAGCTTCTACCTCTTCTAGAACCTTGGTGTTTTTTGGCACCACCTTCACTTCTTGGCCCTTCTTGATCCTGCTTGGCCCTTCTGCACAACTCTGCCGCTTCTGCCCAGCATGCCAAGGAGACCTACCTTGGCAGCATCCCAAATGGTGAGCGTTTCGGCTGCGAGCAAGTAGACTAAGTAGACACAATGCCAAGTTGTTTGTCGACTATGCAAGGATTGGTGCAAGCAGCCAGCGCCCTGAGGATCTCGAGATGCGGCAGGCCGTAACTCCTTTGGAGCTCCAGCTGCATGCTGTAGAACTTGTAAAACTTGTAGAACACATCGCACGACAATCAGGACAGCATGGTCAACGCATGGCCAAGCACAAAGAACATCAAAGAACCCTGCAACTACTTTTGCAGTGCAGTCCGAGGAGATCCGCTTCCCTGAAGCATCGGTGTGCGAGGACGTGCACCTGCACATGGTGGAGCCCAAGGTGCCACTTCTTTCGACTGCTCCTTGCGTCCAAGCGATTTCTCACTTCACAGCTCAGGCGCCTGCCCGTCACAACTCTCCTTCTCGGGCTCCTTCTGTCTGTTTTTCTCTGCATCTCCTTCTTGTCAGCTCCGTTACCCTTCTACCGCCCGCAAGCGTGCTTCTCCAGAAACTCCTTCGGCCCATGCCTGGGCCACTGTCGTTCTCGCTTGATGACCCGAGAAGTTAGAAGCTCAAAGAAGTTTGAAGACTGCAGCCGTTGGCACGATGTGGACCCATCATTGGCGGGACCACGGCCTGACCTGACTCCCGAACAACAGTGACAGGTGAACTATGCATTGTCGGCCGTTCAGCTGAAAGCGTAATTTCCACAAGAATACAGGAATGAGGGCATGGGCATGGGGAAGTGCTTCTTGGCAGCGGGAAGGGCGCGCTCGCTAAGGGTTCCTCTGGGCCATCTTCAATTCACTCCGTCCTTTTTACTTTGATTGCTTTTTTTCTTGATTTTCTTACTTGTATTTTTTATTTTGTTTTTCTCTCTCCTTCTCTCTGGTTCTCTCTCTCTCTCTCCTGTTTCTCTCTCGCGTGAGCTGTGTCCTTCAGGGAAGCACCGTTCTCTGCTTTCCGTTGCAGATGGTCTCAGCCTTTTGGAAGCAACATGAAGCAACCGGTCCCTTTTTTACTTCTGGGACCGTTCTCTGTGATGTGTGCCAGAATGTACATCGAACCCCAAAGACTGAAAGAGTTTGAGGCTAATTTTAAGACTCCGTTTGAGACTCTGACGCTGAGGTGTCAAAAGCAGGATCGGCAGAGGCTTGTTCTGAGGAGCTTCGTGAGTTGATGCGGCTCCAGTTCCTCGGATCTTGCTTATTTCGAGTTGTTGTCTAAGCACACTCCGTGACAGAGAGAGAGAGAGAGAGAGAGAGGCAGAAAACCCTCCGTTCAGAGGGTTCATCTTTCAGAGCCTTAAGTCACGAAAGCTCCCCCCTCAAGCTCGAGGGGTGAGTCTAATACCAAGCATCAGCTGATCTGTACTAAGGGGTTGGGGGGGGGGTAGGCGGGTGCATGTGTGATTCTATGTTGGCATATGAGGCTCTTGGTGCGCCTCTTGGAGACACGTCTTGTGGAAGTGCTTCGGTTCCAAAGGGGCCAGGCTGGGATACCAATCGTCGCCACTCCCTTTCTCCCTTTCTCGCTGTCCCTTCTCGTTCAGGTCTACAGTGTTTCAGTGGGCACGGACATGTCCTTGGCACCACCGCAGATGGGTCGGCCGCGTTGCGGTACTTTGAGCACCTCAGCTCCCAGAAGTAAAAGCAGAATATGCGATGCTGGTGAACGTGCCGGTGCTTTGATTGCAGGCATCAGCTTCGAGTGCGACCCGACGGAGTCGGACGAACTCGTCGCAGCGACGCGAGAGGCAGCCTTGCTTTGGTTCAGAATTACGTTGTTACGTTTCAACGTTTCAACGTTTCAACATTTCAAGATTTCAACGTGCAGGGTCAAGCGGGGGTAGATCGGTGTGCAACCGCGGCGTGCGCGGCGAGGCGCCTGCGTGGCCGCGGAGTTGGGGACTCGTTTTCGTTCCCCCGAGCATGGGTTGTCGTGTGTTGCGCCAAGCTAGTGGGAATGCAAAGGATCCGCAAGTTAATGGCATGCTCACTTTCGCACTTGGGTTCGCGAAATGCGAAACTGTCGTCGCTTGTGGAGGCGAGGGCGTGCGAGAGCAGGAATGACCATGTCGCCTTGGCAGTTTTGCGCACTTGACTCGTCTAGTGGCTCTTTCTCTGCGTACGTGTGCCTTCGCTGGTCATGTACTGTTGTCACATTCATATGCAACTCGCACTGTAGCTGCAAGGTCGGGTGACGTGTTAGAATCTGAATGGGTCAAGATGGCTGGTCAGCCGCCCATGCTTTGGCTTCAAGAGGGTCGTCCCGAGATGACAGAGGAGATGCCGAGGCCCTTATCCTCGAATGGTTCGTTTTTGCAAGCCGGCTCGTAGGCAAGCTGCTGCCAAGTTCTGTCATCAACCAGTGCAGCCGCAGACGGAATACTTTCTTTGGCAATCTTCAAGACATCTGGGGTTTCTTATTGACGTCTTGAAGAAGGCTAGCCTGACCCTCCCACCCATGCCCTCCTTTCCCCCTCTGAACTTGAGGATTCTTCATCAACATTTTGAGCAGAGAAAAATTCACGGTTGGCAATTTTTGAAATGTTGGGTTTCTATTTTGAAATCTATCTGTTCTGTATGTTTGATCCTTGAATTTGTTGTTCATCCATCTTTTCCTGACCCTCACCGCCTTACCCCAAAAGGTGGAGTGGGATGGCCGTGGTCGCTGTGCATGCACGAGAACATAGTCATATTCATAGTCAATCAGCGTCTCGATCAATATCTATCGAGCAGTCGGTTGGACAATCTGAGAATGGAATGAACACACACACACATCTACACCACGATTCCTGTCTCTCTGTGCTTCTGTGTGCATGCTGCGCATTTTTTGCGCGTTCACTGTCTGCCACTTCTCGTTTTGCATACCTGTGTTTGGCTCATCCTCTGCTGCACTCCGAAATTGTCTTTCCGTTGTGTGAACACTTTCAACATCTTTCAACCAAGGAGTTGGAGGGCCTGAAAGCTGGAGCCTAGCCGCAAGAGAGCCGTTGCGCACACCCGAATGACCATGCAACATGCGGTTTGCGGATTCAGCTGATGCTTCCGGTCCCAGGCTCCACACACTTCAGCGAGGCAAACGTTGGAGCAGCATTGGAGCAGGCGCGCTGGGAAGAAGCAAAGGCGCTGGTTTTGCAGAGTGTCGTGGGTGTCGTGGGCCGTGCCAGGACCGCCGTGAGTTCGAGGAGTTGATCCATACTAACGGTGCTTCCTCTGACACAAGAGGGGAGATGCGAAGACGCTGGAGGGAAGACGTCATTGTAGAGCGGTTGTAGAGCCCGCAGATTCGAGGCTGGTGGGCGGGCACGGTGCTGGACCTCTACTTTTCTCGTTGCTACGTCGCTGAGGGTGAGATTGGCCAGACCTTGTCCCTTTGGTGGACAGCGCGGCAGGAGATGGTTTCTCAACACATCTGAGAGAAATGTTGCTCAATGGGCCAATGGGCTCGCCAATGGGCTCAATGGGTCGGTCTGCACGTTTTTCAGGAGGTCCTGCAGTCCTACAACGTGGATCAGGACTGAAGTGCTTGTGCGCTGCAGACGAGATCGGGTCATTCAAATTGTTGCACTGGGAGGCCTCCGAGCAGCTTCGGACCGTCCTTGCCACAGCCCGAAGCGTCACTGTAGCCATGCGGCCAAAGTGACGGGGCTTTAAGGAGTAGCAGAGTAGCACCTCTGCTAGACCCAAAAAAGGCTTCGCGGTGAGCATGGCATCAAGGTGTTTTGTCAAGGTCGCTAGGCAAGCGAATGGCTAACTTGGGACAACAGAGCAGCCTGAGGAACATTGGAGCAGGAAACGGGGGCGTGACGGCGAACGCCCAAAGCGGAGATCCAAAAACACATGTCGGCAGGCTATGTAGCTCTCTAGCTGTCCGGTGCCTTGTCCCGCTACTTTTGTAATATCACATGGTGCACTAAGTGACCCCCCCCCCATCTGCATACTCTCCGAATGGGTGTGTTGCGAATGCTCCGAAAAACATTCTAGGTGCTCGGAAGATGGAGTCCGCTGTTCTTTCCCCGTTGGACTGAGGATACTGAGGGGAACTCCTTTCACATTGGGACCCCGGGAATTCGGGGAATTCGGGGGAGTTGGGGCTTGGCAGCAGAGGCCTGACATGGTCCGGCTCTTGCAAGGGCTAAGGAGGCTGTTGCTAGCTGTCGAGCCTTGGGGCGGCTCACGCCTGCAGTCTCCAGCTGCGTTTTGTCTTTTCTGGCTCAGGGCCCATCACGTCTCGAGCAGACATAAGTGTCGAGTCATTTTGCCATTGCTCTACTATCATCAAATCAAGTCGCTGCACAGGTCGGAGGAATGTGCCACAAGCAGTTCAGACGAAGTGTGCTTCAGCACGGATTTCAAGTTGCCGCACAGCGGGGACCTATTTATCCAAATGTCGAACTCGCAAAAATGGGACCTGATTATCCTAGAAGATCCTAGAACATCATGGCAAGCTTCAATGTTCCTTTTGCTTTCTGCCCGAATGAGCGTTGCTGACCGTGACCGCCGCATTGTGAGACATGCAAGGGGGAGCTTGCAAACGACGAGGTCCAAAAGAAAAAAGGGCAAGTGTCCAAGATCTAAAGTCTCTCGCGATGGCGATGGCATACTGCTGGTTCCACATACGACCCGACTTCCTGGGCTGGCAAAACTTTTTTTCGGGTGGCAAGAAGTGTTTCATGAAGTGCGTGTGCCGACGTGAAAACCCAATGGGCCAATGGGCGAACAGTACAGCTCGAAATCATACAGAGCACGCTTGCAAAGAGCGAGGTCAAAGTCGCAGAGTGGTTCAGTCTTCATTCCAAGTCGTCCTGAGTCACACGACATGGAGTGCGGCTTCATGAGCAAAGTTGAGAACGGGTCTCACTTGGTGTTTCTGAGAGTTGAGAGCCAAACAACGCACCTTTTTGGAGGCTCGAGAGAGAGAAGTTGCACTTGTGTGTGGTGTAGCTTCCTCTCATACCCACCACCCACCATATGGCGGAGAAGAGTGGGTCCAAAGATGATGATGAGATCGAGGAGAGACGCTTCTTTCTCTGTTGTTGTTTTTAGGTGTTCGCGGGTCGCTCACAAAATTTTCCGCATCCCCCACGAGGACGAGGACGAGGAGGAGCTCGCGCGGCCGCCGCCGAAGACCAAGTCTTGGCTGGGGGCGCGGGGCCTACCCTGCTGTGTGTGAAGTTGTTTTTTTGTTTGCGCAGATACGTGAAGATCCTGAACATACCCAGGCTCCGCATCCAAAGAATCAGATCCATGATAATTCCTGTCTTGCCTGTAATATCCGAGACCTGTGCGACAAGTTATCCAGCACAACCTGCATTTCCTATTGTCCATAGATCGCATGCCATTGTGCGCAGCATGCGACACAAACGACACAAATGCATATGTGCAAGTGATATGAATGGACGTGAGAAATCGGTGCCTTGGCAACTGAGTTCTTGAAGGGGGCCGTGCAGGGTGATCGGGATCCGATTGATGCTTTGGTCGCCAAGTACAACCAGGCCAGGGCCATTCAGGACAAGCCAGTCCCGCTACAGTCCCGCTATGCTCCAGAACTGGCCGAAGATGCAAACTTGTTTCAATTCATTTCCCTGCAGGGACAAGATTCGGACGAAGAGGATAACGACGACTACGGCACAGAAGTTCGCCCTCCGAAGCCTTTTGTAGATACGCCCACCTTCAACATGTGCAGGGTCCTCAGTCTTCGGTTCGCTTTCGTGCAACAGAACGTCTCTTTCCTGCGTCTGCACAATTTTTCAGGTTTGGGCGTTGTAATCGCTTTGAACTCGGTGACGATTGGCTTGGAAACAGACTCGGTGGCACACGCGGTGGCAACGCAGGAAGAACATGACGATCGCCTGTGGTACATTGTCGAACTGATATTTTGTATCATCTTCCTCTGTGAGCTTTTGCTCCGGCTCTATTTCCATCGCCTCCGCTACTTCACCAATCCGGTGACACGGGCCTGGAACGTCGCCGACTTTATCATCGTTTCGGTTTCGGTTGTCGACACTCTGATTCTCATTCCTTTCGGCATCGGCGGCACAGCTCGTGCCCGGCACCCCAGCACATATCGTTCAGCGATTTGTCGCTGGGAGCTGCTTCTGGGAGTTTACCCCCCCATATGGGCCCTTCTCTCTGCATGTCCTTCCGGCAGGTCGTGGCCATGCTGCGCTTCGTCCGCATGATGCGCCTGGCACGGCTCCTGCGGCTTCTCAAGCTCTTCAAGGAGCTGTGGCTCATGGTCTCAGGGCTCTTGCAGTCCTTGAAGACCTTGGGATGGATCTGTCTGGTAGCCCTCCTCTTCTGCTATGCTTGTGTCGGGGGCTCAAGCTTAGAGGCCCAGGGCATGCTCAGAGTGGCACGTAGAGACGCATGTGTGTGGCGCGTTGCCGCGTTGCCTCTTCAAGGCAATCATTACAACCACCGTTATCGGGCACAACGATGACCTCTACGATCCCTACTTTGCAACTTCTGGTGGCTGGGATCATGAGGTT